CAACCATTCAATTGATAACAAATATTTTAGATCATCATCAAGTATCTGAAACCTCCTATGCTTCAATGTTTCATGTCATATGTTAAAATTATTGCCAGCCTCAGAATATTAGTATTCTTCAAAGACTTTTTGTACAATAATACACCATGATTTTATGTATTTCAAATTAAACTAAATGTTTTAAAATTCCAAATCAAGATGCTTTGCAAAAAGAAAAATATTTTTATTCATGCAAAGAATTTACATGGAAAACTTTTATTTGTAAAAGAAAAAGTAGGTATCTTCAAACACAAACAACATAAATGCTTTTGAACTGGCACACTGCAAAGTGATTTAAGTGTAGCTTATTTCAAAAGGATCTCGAAATTATGATGAAGGTATGGAGTTCCTCAAATCCTTCTTCCCTTTATGCAAAATATCTTTTAACTGCATCCGAATTTACTAGGTATGGTAATTCCGGTCCATCCATTTCAGTAAGGACTAAAGCTCATCCAGAAAAAACCTTTTTTACAATATAAGGTCATTCCCAATTTGGTATCCACTTTCCTCGGTGATCATTTTGAAAAGGTAAATCCTTCTGAGCAAGATCCCCTTCGTAAAATTCTCGGAGGCGAACTTTCTTATCATGCGCTGGTATCATCCTCTTTTGGTACATCTGGCCATGACAAATTGCTTTCATTATTTTTTCTTCGATCAAATTTAATTGGTCATATATGGTTTGTACCTAGTCTACCTCGTCTAGCTTTACTTCTGATAGAACCCGCAATGAAGGAATTTCTACCTCAATTGGTAAGACTGCTTCCATCCTATAGGTTAATGAAAAAGGAGTTGCCCCAGTCGATGTTTGTACTGAAGTTTGATAGGCTAACAGAGCAAATGGTAGTTTCTTGTGCCAATCCTTATATGTTTAAATCATCTTTTCTATAAGCCTCTTGATATTCTTATTAGCTGCCTCGACCGCTCCATTCATTTTTGGGCGATAGATGGTGGAATTATGATGTTTTATCTGGAATTGTTCACAGACTGATTTCATTATTTTGTTGTTCAGATTCAAAGCATTGTCAGTAATAATTCTCTCTGGCAGACTATATCCACAAATGATCTCTTTTTTGAAGAATTTACAGACTGTGGACAGAGTAATGTTCGCATAAGAAGCTGTTTCTACCCATTTGGTAAAATAGTCTATTGCTACCAAAATAAAGCGATGACCATTTGAGGCTTTTGGAAAAAATTTGTCCAATAACATCTATACCCCACATAGAGAATGGCCAAGGAGCTGTCATTACATGCAATGGATGAGGAGGAATATGCTTTCTGTCTCCATAGATTTGACACGTGTGACACTTTCGAGCATAATTAATGCAGTCAATTTCCATAGTTGACCAATAGTATCCAAATCTCATAATTTGTCTAACCATTGTATGCCTATTAGCATGATTATCACATAATCCCTTGTGTACTTCTTCAAGAATTGATTTAGCTTCTTTGGTATCCACACATATTAATAGGACCTGATCCGGCTCTTTTTGTACAAGACTTCCCCATCGAGTACATACCCTGATGCCATTCTTCGGATATTCTCTTATCATTTTCAGTTGCTTGTTCAGGATAACTTTGAAATTTGATATATTGCAATATATCATAGTACCAAGGTTTCTCTTCTTCTTCTTCTTCTTCAATGTTAAGACAATGAGCTGGATATTCATAAGCCTGTATTTCAATAGGCATCATATTTGCATGTTTATTTACCTTATATGCGGCTGCCAAAGTTGCCAAGACATCTTCCATTTGATTTTCTTCTCTGGGGATGTAATCAAAAGTCACTTCTTCAAATTCTTTGATGAGTTTGAGAAACAATTTATGATATTTTACAAGCTTGAAATCTTTTGTCTCCATTCTCCTTTGATTTGGTAAATTACTAGAGCTGAATCCCCATAAACCCTAAGCATTTTTACTTTACATTCAATGACAGGTTTAAGACCCAAAATACATGACTCATACTCAGTTGTATTGTTTGTGTAGTCAAAATTAAGTCGATGGTAAACAAATAATGTTTTCCGTTTAGTGAGACTAAAATTGCCCCAATTCCATGCCTTAATGCATTTGAAGCACCATCAAAAGTCAACTCCCAATATTCTTCATTGGATGTAACTGATTATCTTACAGAAATTTCTATCAAATCCTCATAAGGAAAATCAAAATTTATTGGCTCATATTCTTGAAAAGTTCTATTCACAATGAACTCCCTATTGCACTCCGTTTTACTGCTTTTCGACTGACATATTGGATGTCGAATTCTGACAACAAAATTTGCCAACGAGCTAATCTTCCAGATAATGCAGGAACATTTATTAGATATTTCAAAGCATCAAATATGGATATAAGCCATGTAGTATGATATAACATATATTGTCTAAGCTTTCGAGTGGTCTATACCAGAGCACAACATAATTTCTCAATTAAAGAATATATGGTTTCACATTCAGTGAACTTCTTAGAGAGATAATAAACAGCTCTTTCTTTCTTCTCAGTTTGGTCATGCTGTCCTAATACGCATCCAATAGAATTTACCCAAACAGACAAATAAAGGATTAAAGGTTTATCTGGATAGGTGGTACCAAAATTGGAGTACTTGATAGATATTTCTTAACTGTCTCAAAGGCTTCTTGACATTCTTTATTCCATGTCCCAAAATCATTCTTCCTAAGGAGGCGAAAAATAGGATCATATTTCTTAATTAACTGCGAAATAAATCGAGCTATATAATTAAGCCTTCCTAAAAATCCTCAAACCTTTATTTGTGTTTATGGGGGTGACAATTATTGAATAGCCTTGAATTTATTTGGGTCTATTTCAATTCCTTTTTGGCTTACAACAATCCCAAAAGTTTACCAGATATCACCCCAAATGTACACTTACTTGGGTTGAGCTTTAACTGACATTCGCTTAATCTCTGGAAAAGCTTCCTCAAATTCTCAACATGTTCTTGTTCGGACTTGGCTTTAACAATCATATAATCGACATAAACTTCTATTTCTTTTTGTATCATGTCATGAAATAATGTTACCATAACCCTTTGATAAGTTGCCCCTGCATTCTTTAATCCAAATGGCATCACTTTGTAACAAAACGTTCCTCATAAGGTGACAAACTTTGTTTTTTTCATATCATCAGGGTACATTCTGATTTGATTATAGCCAAAGAAACTATCCATAAATGAGAATAAAGAATTCTTAGCAATATTTCCCACCAATGTGTCTATGTGTGGTAAAGGAAAATTATCCTTTGGACTGGCCCTATTAAGATCTCGATAATCAACACACATACGGACTTTACCATCATTTTTTGTTATAGGGACAATATTTGCTACCCATTCAGGGTACTTGGCTACTTTAAGAAATCCAGCATCGAATTACTTTTTACTTCTTCTTTGATCTTGAGTAGAATTTCGGGTTTCATTCTTCTCAACTTTTGTTGCACTGGCTTACATTATGATTTTATTGGTAACTTATGTACTACCAATTCTGTATCTAACCCTGGCATGTCCTCGTATGACCAAGCAAATACATCCTTATACTCTTGCAGTAATTTAATCAAATCATGTCGCCCTTTATTAGATAAAGTGTTCTAATTTTCACCTCATTCTTTTCCACATTAGACCCTAAATTTAATATCTCAATAGATTCCTTATAAGGAAAAATTTGTTTATCCTCTTTTTCTACCATTTTTAACAGCTCGGAGGGTAAATCATATCATTCACCATAACCCTCAACTTCCTCAGGACACATAGGTTGCTCAAAATCAATTTATGGGCCAAAATCATTAACATCTATGTCATTGATTTTTGAGTTCCTGAAAGAAAAATAAACAAGAGTATATACATATAATCATGAAAATACATTTTAAAAATGATTGCCATTTAGAACTAATGCATCTTTTATTGAAAAAGAAAAACACGTAGTTTAATCCTTTACACAAAATCAAACTATTGCCTAGGGTATAGGCAATAATCAAAGTTTTAGTGTATTACTCTGAAAAAGATTTGAAAACTACATGTAATTCTTCCGCAATCCAATTATTTAACTCAAAATCTAATGATGCAAGATAAATGCCCATAGCTTCTTTTTCTGCAGATTCATCATCTGATATGACATTGATACTCATTTCTTTCAAAGCATTTTCAACAACCATCCCTTCGCTCTGCTGATTCCTTTGAAAAGTATGTCCCCAAGACATAAAAGTATTAGTCAATAGTGGAAAGGTCATCGGTTCCCATGTAAGATCTTCTCCAGCTAACTTTGATTTTCTTAGTTCTTGATTCTTTTTAATGCCCTTCTGTCTCTATATTTTATTGTCGGTCGATATCCCAAACCAAATCGATCCTTCTTGAAGATAGGTAAAAATGGATTAAATGGCCCTTGCAAATAGTTTCCTAATCCTTTTCCAATTTTTACCCCTTTTCCTAAGGTCAATATGAGTCCCATTTTTGTGCAATTGGAAATTTTGGGTTTAGGCATCCTTTTCCCCTCAGCCACAAATGTTGCATTGACAAATTCCAAGGATCTGAAAGAGCATTCAATAGCTTCTTCATCCAATTCAATATATGGAGCAGTGGTAGAGACTGAAGCGATGATGTCTTCTTCAGCATTAAGACATATCAGCCTACCATCAATTATAAATTTTACCTTTTGGTGTAATGTAGATGGAACTGCCACTGCTTGATGAATCTAGGGTCTTCCCAACAAACAATTGTAAGTGGGTATAATATCCATTACAAGGAATTCTATCTCATATGTAGCCGAACCGATAGTTAAGGGACTATCGATTTTTCCTAATACCTCATTCTTGGTTCCATCAAAAGCTCGGACAATACTCTGACTACTTCTCATGAGTGTGCTATCAATTGGTAATTTCTTCAGAGTCACTATTGGCATTACATTTAAAGACGATCCATTATCTACTAACACTCGAGATAAAAATATGTCATTTTCATTTAACTGTCATTTGCATTTAACTGTAATATGCGGAGCTTTAGAGCTACCATTCATCTCAGAAAGAATTTCATCTTCGAAAAAAGAAAGGAAATTATCAGCCTGTATATTTGCAATCAGCCTAACCAATTTGTTTACTGGCAATTCCTTTGGTACAAAAGTTTGATTTAACACTTTTAGCAAATCATTACGATGTGCTTCAGAGCTTAATAAAAGTGCTAAATCTGATATACAAACTAGCAATTTGTGCAACTGTTCAACAATATTGTATTCACTGTGCTTGAGAAACTTAAAAAATTCTACAGCTTCATTTTCAATTATAGGTTCATTGATGACATTTTCATCCTCTTTAAACTGTAGCTCAACCTTTTTCCCTTTATCAACTGGACCTTGTTTCTCAGATTCCTTAGAATAACATCTCCCACTTCTGGTAAAATGTCCAACTTCATCTACTTCTTCATTTCCTCCCATTGTTTCTTTATTTGGCATTCATAATTCCATGGAACTTTTTGTCATCTTTATAAGCAAACAGGGATGGTGAAGTGATAACCACCTTTAGAGCTTTCTTATCTGGTACCAGAGTTCTTGGTATGATAATTAAAGGATGATTAGAGTTATAAACCTCTCCAGATGGTCCCTCAGAGGCACAAATATCAATTTATTCTTCTGATATTTCTTTGAAAAATTTCATTTCATTTTCATCCATCATTTTTGGTACCAAAACCCAAAAATCTAAGCATTGTTGTATAACATGTCCTTCATAACCATGATAATGAAATATATTTCCATAATTTAATTGTTCTACTGACAGATCAAATTTTAGCAAACCGACTTTGATCATTTGAGTCCCTACCCAGACATAGGTGATTTTACTTCACTGACTTGCTTTATCAACTGCTTTCCTTTTTCCTCTATACCTAATTTGATCTCTGTTCCTGCATGATTTGGAAACAAATTTTGAGCCACATTTAGTTGCTCTTTATCACCAAAATTTATGATATTCTTGGTTCTCAAGCTTTGAACAATTTTTTTGAATGCGATGTAGTTTTTGATAGAATGTCCACGAGCTCCTACATGATATTCACATTGCAAATTATCATTGTACCACTTAGGATATGCGGGTTGTATGGGAGATACATGATAAGGTGATATTATATGCTTGTCATATAACATCTGGTATAACTCTTTGTAGGTCATCGAAATTGGGTCAAACTGAAGTTTCTCACTTTCCACCCTTGGTTCCCTTGTTCCTTGTTTGGTGAAGTTTTGTGTTGAAGATCCAATATCCTAAGGTCGAGACACTATGATATTATTGGACTCATATTTCTTGCATTATTTACCTCATTTTCTTTCTTTTTCATAAATGGCTTCTTACTAGATTCACCACTTTCAAGCTTACATCTCTTAATCGCCATTTCAATCATTTCACCCGTTGTAACTATGTCAGCAAAGCTTTTAAAAGAATTCCCTATGAGGTGAGTAAAGAAAGGAACTTTTAAAGTGTTCACAAAGAGCACATTTGTTTCTTCTTCTTCCATGGGTGGATGTACCTGCATAACTATGTACCTAAACCTTTCATTGAGTTTCTTTTCCATGTTCTGCAGTACCATTCGATTAGGCCTTATATCATTCACATGCTTATATTGTTCTAAAAAGGATTTAGCCAAATCTTTCCAGGATTTAATATGAGTTCTACTTAATTGGTTACACCATTGGATGACCAAACCAGTTAAGCTTTCTTGGAAAAAATGGATCAGTAGTTGATCATTCCCTATATAACCCGCCATTTTCCTGCAAAACATCGTGATATGGGTAGAAGGACATTTCATACCATCAAATTTTTCAAAGTTTGGCATTTTGAACTTGGGTGGTAATACTAAATCAGGTACCAAACTCAATTCCTTGGTTTCGATTTCATATAAATTAGAGCATTCCTTTATTACCCTAACTTCTTCCATTAGTTGTTCCAATTGTTTGTTTGACTCTTTATTCTCTTCTTGATCAAAATTTGGAACATTCTTGACTTGTTGTTGGTTTATAGAAACACTAGGTAAATTTATGTTTACCCTTCCTGGTTGAGTAAATGCTCCGGACTGGGCCTTAACATGAGAGGATGTATGATCCGGAGGGTATAAAGGCTCAATTATTTTAGATTTTAGATGATATGCTTTTGGTGTAAAGCCTAGAGGATATAAAGGCTCTTCAGTGAAAGTACCAACAGCTGGGGCATTTATTTGATCCATGCTTCTCATTTGTAACATACTTACAAATGTTTCCATCATCTCACTCTGGGATTTCATCAACTGTTCATGCATTTCTTCATGAATTTTCTTGAAACTCTCTTGCATCTCAGTTGATTCCTTTCAATTTGAGCGATCTTATCGTCCATTGCCCTTTTTCTGGTATTATATGGATGCTTAGGGGGGTCCAGTTTTCTTCAAAAAAGAAAAGAAAACTTTTTTAATGAATATGGATGAAAAATATAATGTCAAAATGTTCATGCTCAATATGTAAATGCAAGGTGTTGATATCAAGATGATTTCTTCAGAATAGCTTTTATATTAAAACAAAGTTTATTACAAAGCTTTAAAACATAGTATAAATTACAAATACATCTGAACAACTTCTCCTAACTGCTGTATATGTTCAAGTAACTCAATGACTTTATGAGCTTCTTCGGTTCCTGGTTCTAATTCTTCACTCAAAGTGGTAGCTTCATATGCCAAGTCCACTAAATATTGTGCCACTCCCTGAACTTGCTCCAGATATTTTGCAATGAGGTCGTCTCTTTATTTGACTTTCCATTAAGCACGTTCCCAACGATAACGTCATTGCAAAATTTCTTCGTACGAGACAATAGGGAGTTGATTCGCCTTTCTCTGAATATCTTAGACTTTGGTTTCCAGCTCATTCACTTGCTTCCTTAGATTCTTAGCTTCCGAGTTACTTTCTTGACTTCGCAATGCAATTTCCAATCTTTCTATCTTGCTTTTTTGTCTCTGGTTTATAGCTTGATTTTCCAATAGTCTTTGCTCTAATGCCTCATTTTCTTTAGCAAGAATATTGGCCTGGTGTTTACTTTGTTTGAGCTTGATTTTCCAATAGTTTTTCCTCAATATCGGGTTAGTGACCAAATTGTAAAGTTTCAGAAATTGGTGATTAAAGTTTGATAATTAAATAGTTCAATGATTTATTGGAAATATGATGAAGGTTATTTAGTAATTATTGAATGAAGTAAAGGGTAAAATGGTAAATTGATAGGTAAAATTTTTATATTCATTTTATAAGAAAATGAACCACATGGGAAATGAGAGAATTATCCAGAGTTTTCTTTCTTCTTCTTTCTCCTCCCATATCTCCAAGCTTAAAGGTGAGTTTCTTTGTTTATGGATTAATTGTTGATTTTAAGGCTGGGTTTTGATTATTAGATGATAACTAAGCTTAAGGAAAGCTTAAGTTATCTTAAAATCAAAGTATGATAGAATTATGAGGGATTAAAGATTTGAGGTTCTTGGGTGAAATTTTGAAATAGAGTTCATAACTAGAGTTGGAAGTTAAATTTGACTTGTCAAGGGTCTAAATAAGAAGTTAGAAACCATAAAATTAGAATTAAAACATATTGCAAAGTTGGTTTAATTCTTGAGTTACATATGAGGAATAAAATTTTGAAGTTAAAGATGGTTTATATGGATATAAATTGGTTTAAGCATGTGTATATGAGTTGAGAACATGAAAGGGGTTGAAAGATGAAGCATTTGAGTTGATTTGAGTAGATTTTCGGGCTTAAAAATGAATTCTGGGCTATGTGCATCGATGCACATTCAATGTGCACCGATGCATCAAGGGTAAATCTCCAGAAATTGTTCAGTGTGTATCGATGCACAGGAAGTGCATCGATACACCTCTTAAAAATGGAAACATTGAATGTAATTAATACATCGATGCATAAGGAGTGCATCGATGCACACGTTAAGGGATGTATCGATACACGTTAGGATGCATCGATGCACTTCAAGGGGAAATAGAAATAAACCTTTCTTTTGGTCTAAGAAATGATAGATTAGCGTATATCAATTGAATATTGATATGTATCAATGTATGATCATATAGATATCGAGCACGAACAAGTTCCAGAACGATTATCAAGTTAAGATTCGATCGAAAGAGATGAAAGCATAAAAGTGGATCAAAACTTAGTGAGGCCAAGGTGAGTGTATATGCATTAGTATATGATGTGTGTGGAAAAGACTCGCGATGAGTCTACTTACAACATTTGATTACATGATTTTATGGATATTAATATGGGTGATATGATTATTATTGATGCATAAATATAATCATAGGTGTTATATGTGAACATGTGAATTATATGAAAAGTGATATGAATTATATGAAAAGAAGCTATATGTCTACATGTATATGTGAAAGAAGCTATGAGCTTATATGAACAGGTGATATGAAAATGTATATGCGAAATGATATAAGTGAAAATGCCCATGTTATGTGTAAAGAGAGCTAGAGGTATAGTTGGCATGCTAAGAGTCGAGGGTTCTACGTGGTCCTTCGGGACATATATGTATTCTTTGGAATATTTACAGGGTCTTGTGAGACACATATGTTATCCATTGAAATATGTATATGGTTATTAAGGAGTGGTCATTAGGGACAAATATAGTACATAGGTCCTTCGGGACAAAATTCATAGCCCCTAGTGGGACCCCATACGAGATGTGGTGACAGCATAGTGCACAACCTCAATAGACTCACATATCTACAGTTCTCACAGATGTACATGGGCTAACAAAGAGATAACAATAAAAATATATTACATGTAAAGTATATGCTTTTGTGATATGAATTGTATTATATGATTGATATGATGAATGATGTGTACATTCGATTAAATGAAATGATATATTATTTTGTGTAATAGCATGACATGATATGATATGATATGTTGATCCATGATTAAGTAGTTAGAATTATTTTAATGTGTTTAATGCCTCAGTAAGTCATAAACTTAGCGTGTGATTGTTTCACACGTAGGTTACCGAAGTGAGAAGAGTAAAGAGCAATGTGGAGCAAGACATGTCAGTTCTCCTTACCAAAGGTCAGATCAGAAGAAAGGTGAATAATATGTATTTGAATATATAAAGTTCTAGTTGACATGTATTCAAAATAATACATTGTATAAGCTCTGAATAGTTCGGTAAAGGTTTTGAATAAGTTATATGTAATAATAAATTTTAAATTACTCACTATTTTATACAAGTAAAGGTTTGAAAAGTCAATGTGACACTTCGGACTCGGATCTAGGTCGGATACGGGTTGGGGGTGTTACATTTAATGGTATCAGAGCTAAGGTTTAGCCGATTCTAGGCTTAAACCAAAGTCCAATGAGGTTTAAAAAAAGTGTACATGCCAACTAAAAGTGAAAATTTCTGATCTGATAGTGTAAGGAGTATGTTGTCTTACTAATAGAATAAGATTTGTATGATGCAGTTGGATTTGATTATAAAAATTGTCAAAGTAAAGTAAATCGATAGCTGACAAATCTGATAGTGATAGCAATTCACCTGCCCTGGCCAGGCAGGATGAAAGTGAAAACCTCAGAAAATGTCTTATAAGATTAAAGGTTGATTTCAGAAAGTTAAAATCATATTAGAATAGTGAAAGAAGATCTTTATTGTTTTGAATCGGTTAAGCGATATGGATTAGTTTTGTTAGTATGTGGATAAAATAGAATATGGTGAATAAATGTCACCATAAAAACGTTAAAAAGATCGAATGACGTGGTGAGTACTTATAGAAGAACTCAAGGATAAGTGCATTAGTGACAAGCGTATAAGATGTATAAAGTTAGAGCTTATGAGTTTGAAATGAAGTGATAGTATTGAGCATAAACAAGAGTATGTTTATGATAAGGGTTTGCAGTTAAGATGGAAAGAGTTAGCGTTGGCTAACCGGAGTATGTGATAAAAATGTACTGGAATTATAAGATTATAAGATATTGTCAGGATATGATAACCAAATATGAAATGGATCTGGATACAGTTGTATATTTGGATCATAGTAATGTGGTATAGTAAAGGAAAAGGAAGTAAGGATTTGCATATTTGAGTAAAGTTGAGGATTGATAAGAAGAGTTTAAAAATGAGTATATCGATGATCATATTATAAGACAAAGGAAGTCAGAATGTTGAGTTTGAGCAACGGAAATTACAGGATGTATGAGAATAGAGGTGAAATTGATAAGTTAAATAAACTAATTTTGAGATAATTTCGATTGGAAAGAATGTATATGATTGGTTGACTAGGGCTTGTGCCCTAGAATGGACAGATGTTATTGACTAGCTGTCAGAGTAAAGGTGATAGAGTTATAAAATTAGAGGAAAAGATAGAGTTGAGTGTATCAATTATGATGTGAAACTGAATATAGTTATGTATTCTGATCAGATAGCTATGATGTAGAAAAGAAGATAAGTATTTGCATGGAACTTTAAGGAAGGAAAATACAAGTATAAAAAAAAGATAAAGAATGAAGTTTTGTATAAGTAAATGGGTTATCAAAGTTATGAGGATGCCATGAAGATTGGTACATAGAGATGAGTATAGGTGATAAGATAAGAGTATGTGAACATGAAAGGAAATATATGATTTGGGTATAAGGAATAAATAAAGGAATAATGGAATAAATAAATAAAAGGGATGAGTTAAAGGATCAAATACGATAAAGGTTATATGGAAGTGTAGATGGCATTTTGATATAGAAGTAAGGAAAATGTGCAAGGTGATGTGAAAAGATTCTTTAAAAGTGTATGTTAATTATATTTAAAGAATATCTAATGTTGTGTTCTCGGTCAAATAATGTTGGAAAATGAGTTGGTTATTGTTATAAGATAATTAAAGAGGGATTTACGAGGTTAAGTGATGAAAATGGATGTTACTGTCTATATGATTAGTGATGTTATATGAAGTCGTAGAAATGGTCAAAGCAAAATGTATAATGGAAGGAGAGAAAAGACAAAGGGATTAAAGTTACTAGTTATTGTTTATATGATCAGTGACAATAGATAAATGTATAAAGGAAAAAAAAGGTAGTTGAAGAAATTAAGGAAGGAAAGATTAAGAAATGAGGTAACATGAGAACAATAGAAGATATATTCTTATTGATTTGTTCAGTGAAAATTCAAGGACAAATTTTCTTTAAAGGAGGGGAGATTTGTAACATTCTCAATACCAGGTAGTGACCAAATTGTAAACTTTCAGAAATTGGTGATTAAAGTAGGATAATTGAATAGTTCAATGATTTATTGGAAATATGATGAAGTTATTTAGTAATTATTGA